GTTACAGTGTTAAAACTAACAATTTTTTTTTACAAAAATTATTTAAAAAATAAAAATTACAGATAATAAATTTTTTTAAAAAAACTATTTACAAAAATAAAACTTACAGATAATATAAAATTTATTAAATATGAATAGCTAATTTGATTTATAAATCGTCAGGAATTTTTAAAATTTTAATAATATGTTTGCTGTCTCTTGTTGGCCGAATTTTGTTAATATCTAATTGTTACATCATAATCGTGTGTTGGGAATATTCCATGATTACATTATATAACCGGCTGATTAATAAATGGGAGGATAGGTAGTGAAGAAGTAGTGAAATGCTGTAGAAGTGGAATAACAAAAGAGTAGAACAGAGGAAACGGTTAATAGAATAACACACACAATCCGGCCAATTAAATTATTATACTTTCCTTTAATGTCCAACATCATTAAACCCAAGTCTTCAATAAACATCCATCCAGCACAGCCAATGTTGTGCCCGAAGCTAATCTGCGCTTACAAATTACTGCTCTCCCAATCTAAGGCACAACACTCTCCTGTACTGATGATTTTGCTGGTGTACATGTCTTTCGAATGTTTCGATGATTTGATAATAGGCTTAATTTTATCGGCTTCTAAGAATTGTTTCTCGATTTCATTATCATCGTCTTGATTAATCTCGTCAAGCCAATGTCCAATTTTGTTAACAATAATAGTTGCCGTGGGTCGCTTATTCTGATCTCCATCCATACATCTCTCGGCCAATTTAACGTAACAATCAGGTGTTCCCTCTTTTTCAAATTCTGGTCTTTTTCCCCGACAAATTTTTATCGCAAGACCACCATCGAAAGGTTCACCATCAAATGCATTTCTTCCAGTTGATATTTCAGACATGATGACTCCAAGGCCATAGATATCAGCCGCTTGTGTGAATGGTTGACCTCTCAGAATTTCAGGCGCTACATATGGCAAAACACCATTAATTTCTCTTTCTTGACTTAAGTTAGACGATATCGAAAGTCCCAGATCCGTAATGTATGCACTGTGTAAATAATCTTGTAGAATATTTCCAGCATGTAAATTCCGATGAATAAATTCCTGAGAATGAATTGCTTCAAGGTCTGAAGCGATGCAATACAAAAGATTCAATTTATCTTTCCATTTCATTTGTGCTACCTCACAAAGATTTTCGCGCAATGAGCCTTTACTCGCATATTGCAAAACGATAATATAATTTTTAGAAGCATCGTCTCTTGATATTCCATAAAATCTTAAAAATGATGGATTTCCGTATCTGATCTCACAATGTCTTTTCAACTATTATTAAATTAGATAAATTTTTTTAGATAAAAAGCATTAATATTATTTTATTAACAAATTCTTGATTGCGTTAATATTACCTCTTCGACAAATTCTTGATTATATTTGTTTGAATTATGAATCAATTTAAGTGCAATAGGAGTCCAAAATTTTCTATTTTTATTAAGCCAATACGCATAATATACGGTTGCAAATCCACCTTTTCCTATCTCCTTTACATTCTTAAATTCGTTATAAGGAATCCATGATAGTTGGTACTTTTCATCGTTTAATATATTTTTCAAATTATCATCAATGTTCTCATATGATAATTTGCTTGTCATTTTTATATCTCTTTCCATTCGATACCAATAATTGGCTTTTTGCATGTCTCTTGGCACACCGATTCCATTTCGATAACAGTCACCAACTTGTAAAATTCCTGTAGCGTCTCCCATTTGTGCAGATTTTTTAAAATATTCAAATGCTTTCATTTCATCCTTATCGACTCCAATTCCTTCCAAATAACAATATCCAGTATTTAATGTTCCATTAATGTTTCCCATCTCTGCTGATTTTTTGAAATATTCAAATGCTTTTTTTTTATCCTTTTTGACACCGGTTCCTTCCAAATAGCAACAACCAACAGTAAATGTCCCATCAGCGTCTTCCATCTCTGCAGATTTTTGATAATAAACGAATGCCTTATATTCATCTTTTTCAACTCCTAATCCTTTACAATAACAGTTACCTAGCATAAATGTTCCTTTAGCATTTCCCCTTTCTGCAGATTCTTGATAATCATTGAATGAATTATATTCAAGGACAAAAGATTCTAAATTAGTAAATGTATAAATTTATATTTAATAATATTCGAATGTGTGATTCTTTAATCAAAATAAATCAAAATAAATTATATACCTTCAAGTTTAAAGGAGTATATTTGAGTTACATATCTTCTATCTATTTAAAATTGTAAAACTAAAATTGATAACTCAGTTTCGGAAAAATTATATATGATATTATGCTACAATCTTACCAATGTACTTTTTCTCATGCTCACTTTTCTTTTCAGGTTCTTTTTCAGGTTTCTTCTTTTTCTTGATGCCAATTTTTGAATCTCCTGGATTTAGAATTTAACAATTTATAAGATAAATAAAGAATATACTTGGAAATTTATACTATTAGAGTGATATATTTAAAGTCATAAATTTAAAGTCTTTTTAATTATCCTGTAACAGATCTATCAGATTGCAGTCTATGCAGATGTTTCAGGCTTAATGATAGATAGTAAAAAAGTTTAAAGGAAAGAAATATAGCTAAATTATAGGCATTGTTTTTGCTCCTTGTAAAATTTTTGATCATTAAAATTAAAACTAACCATAATTTGAATCATTTGATTCGGAATCTATTTAATTAAACGAAATAAATTAATGTACATTTGATAAGAATTTAACTAAATTATAGATATAATTTTACCTTCTGTACTATCCAAGGGAGGATTCTCAAATACTAAAATTTGAATTTACGTTAATCATTCAAACCAAATTCTTTAAATTTAACTTTATCGTTATCAAACGACTAATTACTTGGTTTATATCTTGGAAGACGTAAATATTCGAAGCCCACTATTTTTTGGCCACATTGGGTGCAAACTTTATTAGTCAGTTCTTGTAAAGACCTTAGATCCTTAATCATTTTTTCATATTCTTGTATCAATAACGATAAATTCGGTCTCTTTTTTGGATTTTTATCCCAACATCGTTCCATTATATTTTTATAATCCTCTGGAGTTCCCTCTATGACTTTTGGACGAAGTCCCTTACAGATTTGTGTAGCTAAACGTGTATTATGAGGTCGATCTGAAAATGGCCTATCAGAAGAAGTTAGTTCCCACATAATTATGCCTAAACTATAGATGTCTGATTCCTTTGTATACTTTTCGCCACAAAAAACTTCTGGTGCAATATAAGGCAAAACACCAATAATGCTTTCTATAAAAAAAAAAAAAATTGATTTAGTATAATAACCGTAAATTTAAATTATGCTTACATACAGTAATATAAATACCTGATGTATCTGAAAGCCCAAAGTCGCGAATAAATATTTTTGTTTCATCATCAACGAGGATATTTCCGCAATGAAAATCACGATGAATTATATTTAATTCGTGAAGTGCATTTAAAGATTTCGCAATTTTAGAAAGAATTTCTACTCTCTTTGGCCATGTTAGTTCAGACTTATCAATAAATTTCCTGAGATCGCCATGAATTGCGTGTTTCATAACCATCGCATAGTCTTTCGTTTCTGGATGTATCGTTAAACCATAGAAAGGTACAGCATATTCTCCAAGAAGTTGATAAATTTGATAATTTATTTTGATCTATAACAAACGAATTAAAAGGTGTAAAACTTTTATTATTGCATACTTGTAAATGATAAAGTGTAATGAATTATTGATGTTTATAATTACTTCATTAAGAAATGTGGATTCAAAATTTTTAGATCCCTTCAAAACTTTAAGGACAATATCAACAGTTACTAATTCCTTTTCATCGACAATTTCATCTTGTTTTAATGGTTTCCATTTACCAATTAATAATTTCGAATAACGCCCTTCTGAAATCGGAATACTATTTATTTCAATATCTGTAAAGGGTATCCATTCGATAAAATCGTCGCAATGCTTTTTGTTAGATATTGTATTTTGAATAAATATGTCAATATCTTTATTTCCACTTGATAAAAATGGGTTATTAGAAAGTAAATTGGTTCTACATAATTTTTTTGTAAATCCGATCACCTTTTGTTCGCAATTATTACAGAAAAAGGTTTGATCCATCCTTCAGAAAAGGTTACCGTTATCGAAAAATTCTATTCGGACAAGTTCGTCCTTTATGTAAGTTGACTATTTGCGTTTCCGAATTTTCCCGACTATACAGATTTTACAGGACCCGACTATTATAACAAAGTTATATTGACACTTTTCTTGCAGTCTCGAAGTAATCCTAATTTCAAGTCACTTGCTTATTTGTGCAGCATTCGCGCACATAAAAATTTATATAATTTTATTAGAATACCTCTCATCTAACTTTGTTTTACTTCGCTGATAACAGTTTATTTTGACAGTATATAAAATAGAGGTATATTTAGAAATTTATTTGTCACAGCCTTTGCCAATTGGTATTCAATTCTATTTTTGTGACCCGTTGTTATGATATAAAGCTGATAGTCAGGGGTTATAAATTTAGTATGAGAAATATATTCATTTAAGATCTGTTAATATGAACATAAATGTATAAATAAATGCTTTATCCGAAGTCATGTATTTAAAGAGGACCTAAAGATCTTTAATAAAGACTAGAAGCTGTACGCTTTTTGAACTCTTTTCAAATAAAAGATTATTTATCATAAATCGTCTCTATTAATAAAATTGTCTATTTAATTGATGCTTTCTTAACTAACATTGTGAAACGTTGCATTAGTATATAGAGCGTATATGTGCTATGCTCGGTTAATTTCGATAAATCTTAATTGATACAGAAATAATCATTTTTTTCGTTATATCAATTCTAATAAATTTCAGAGCCATTAGACCATGTGTAATAGTTATTCACTGGATATCATGGGTATAAGCGGAAATTTCATTTCCGCTTAAACACATAGAACACAATATATAACTGATTTATACTATTATTTGTTCTTTAAGTTTTTTAATGTTTATTTGCTAGAAAATTCTTAGTATAAGAATAAAAATAGGTATAATAATAATGATGGTAATATCGATAATAAAAAAGTATCATAACAAAAAAGTATAAAACCGCTTGAAAAATACCTCTATTTACTTTTGTATTATAAAGTTATGATAAACCAATGCAAAAATTTGAAGCAATTGTTTCTTGACTAGAATGATAACTCACTATCACTATTAAATTTTTTTTTGTTTTTGACGTGATAAACTGTGTCCTCGATAAACCAAAGTTATACGTATGTGGTATCATATAAAATTAATCTTTGGTGTTTTTTTTTTGGATCTAATGATTGAGACGATGATAAGGATGTTCATCACTTTCTTAAATAGCAAAGATTTACCAATTACCCTCAAGTTCTTATTGGACGCACAGAAATTTATCCCTGATTGGATGGAATTAATCACATCAAATGATTGTACGCGGGTCGAGTATTACCCGGGTTATCCGCGAGTAACCAGATAACCGGGTAATGACTATGGCTACTCAAGTAGTGCATCCGAGTAATACCCGAGTAGATACACCGGATAATACCTGGTAATCAGTTAGATCTGATTGCTTGAATCATTATCGTATTTCTCTGAAAATAAGTCCCCTTTCGCGTATAATGCGGGTCAAATTGACTTAATACAGTCAAGGGATGCTTATTTTTAGAGGAATACAATCCTTTTATATTCCAGCGATCTTTAAATATGTTTATTATGTAATAAGAATATAATTAATTTTTTTTTATTCTATTATTAAGTGTTAAGACATTATTTAATTAATTTAAACGGATTGCTATTATATTATTAAAATACTGTATTATATTTATTAGATTGCTATTAGATAATTAAAAGATTATATTATAAACATATGACTTAACAGAATTACAAAAATATTATTAAAATATTATAACAGTATTTTTATTATATGTTTAACATATAACTTAAGTTATATCTTAACTATATAATAGTTCTATAATAAAACATATTTAAAGGTTTCTGCTAAGATCGCCCAGCAAAAATCTGATTTACTTTGTCCAACCTGAAAAGTATTTGCACTATCCAATCAGAACTTGGGGAGAAATTAGGGCATTCAAGAGTAATACAGATATTTTGGATGTAGAGGACAAATTACATTATTTTTCAAATGTTTTAGCATATATCAATTCTTAAACATATTTTTAACAAAATTACGTTAAAATATCTCATATTATACTTCCATGTTGGTACTTAATTTTAGAATGAATATTTAGTCAAGATGAAAAGAAAAAAAAAAAAAATCTTTTTTGAATACAGCAAAATTTTTATCTTAAAATTTTTAATGTAACTTTGTTGGAAATATGTTTAAGATTGATTATGTAATTCGTCCTCTATATTTAAAATAGTTCTTTTAATAATAGTAATCATATATCAGATAAATATTCTTTAATAATAGTAATTATATATGTAAAAGAAATCTTCGATAATGGATTTTTATATGATACACATATAGTTTTTGATTTACATAGTTTGCAGCGCGCACCAATGTGTCATATATCTTATCATCACGTTTTGAATGTACATTTTACCCATTGATTAAGGCCCTTTAAATTTTGCCAAATCTTCAGATATATCTTGAAATTTCTCTAATAGAAAATGTGAATATGTTTTATAATTAGGTTCGATAGCTTAATTACAATTCAATACCTGATATTACTAATTCTAATTTTTATCATACTTTTTCCTTTCCTGCCGAATAATACATTGTAAAATCATCCAAATAATAGAGTTGATAGGTAAAGAATTTCCCAATCCAGATGTCAATTTTTTTGGTTCATTAATTTTGAGAGTAGTTGTCAAAATTTATCTATCTGAATTTTTGCTTTGTTCATTATTAATCTTCCCTCATTAAAGTATAACATTGTCTTATACAAAATGCAAGAGTGTATTGTTTGAATTAATATTCAAACTTTATTAAGATATATTAATATATTAAGCACAAATTGTTTTTGAAACATATACGTTGAACCTTCCAAAACCGATCCTGTCAAAATCGATAAGTCAAATCTGATAAAAAATTAATCTACCAAGTCCGTTTCCTTTATATAAACTTAATAATTTATAATGTTTTCAAACCTGATAACTCTCAACATTGATAAAAAACCTATCCACCATGCATATCGATTTTGAGAGGTTCAACAATATATTAGATTTCTGTATATGTATGTATGTGATTTTTTGGCTTTGGCGTGTTCTCAAGCAGTACGTTCGATGTGATTAGCTAGTGATTATGATAATGCTCAACCATTATAGCGATATTTTAGTTAGACCATAATTGAAGTCCAATAGTACGAATGGTAGTATAATTGAATTATGATCAGTTTATCGTGATGGTGTTCAAGTATTACGATAAATTAAATTATTGATTGCAATAGATGCTTTGGCAAATGCTTTTATCATTATTACCATTTAGCGATTATTATGCTCTAAATACAAAAATGAAAACGACAAATCAACAGAAAGACAAATCATCATCGACAGTTCTAAGTTCTATTTTATATATGTTGCTACAATAAAAATGCCCAATCCAACTTTCTTAATCCTACAGTGACAAATAAGTCAGAGAAGAAGTAATTAACATATAAATAAAGTTTTTTATAATATGTATATATTTTTCTGTAATATCAATAAATAACAGGTAATAATTCGTTGGCGCTAGCATTAACCACTTTGAAGATCCATAATGATAATGTAAAAAAGAGATGGGTATTGAACAATTAATTTTTCTAATTAATCGATAAAAAGTTTTAGTCAGCTAGCGCAACTCTATGAAAAAAAAAGAATACTAGGGCCTCCATTTCTTGTTAATTAGAATGATAAATATCCTTGATCGGTTAAACGACCTGTAAATTAAATTTTTCCCTCTGACGCATTTAACTATCATCATTACATGTTTTGTTCATTGGAATAATAAATATAATTAATTCTTTAAACTATTTTTTACTACTCTCAGACCATTCTGACAGATTGATTTAAGCACTATTTAAAGCTTTTGAGTAATTTTAATTCTATAATTTTTTGATCTTCTTTTAATCCTAGCTTATAATATACAATTGCTATTTTATATTGAACTGTATAATTTGCTAATTTGCTAGCTTAAATTTTAATATCATTCTAACAATTTATAAATAAAGTTTAATTTTACGAAAACATCAATGATATTTTCAAATTGCTAATATTATGCCTAAAAATTTAACCCCAAAACAATTTCACTCTTAAAAACCTTATAAAAACTAAGATTGAAACCTTATATTAGCTCTATATTATTTTAGATAAAAAATTAATAATTCTTAATATCCTAACTCTAACTTTAAAAATTTTTAGACCAGTAAATTTTTCTACTAGTTAATTCTAAATTAATTCTTATACTAATTATAAATTGTATACTATAAATCTTCTATATAATTTAAATAAAATTTTGAAAAGTTTTATCTACTTCTATAAAAATTATAAATAGCTAGATTTTATTTGACAAATATATTATTTACAGTTTTCTTTTTATTGTTTTATTATCTTTAAAAAAAATTTTATTATATTCTTAAATAATTTGTTAATATTTTTTTAAGCCATTTCAAGATTATTTAAAATTGTTTATCAATACTATTTTAAATAAATTTTAAATAGTATAAATACTTAAATCTATTTTTAATATAATACTTAGTATAGTATATATATTAGAATACTGAAATTTGTAGTATTTATAAAGCTATTAAAGTAGTATAACCTTTATAATATTTAGATAATCACAAAAATATTCTGAACTAGACAAACATAAGCAATTAAATTCTAAAGAAAGATACCAATATTTGGCTTTATTTAAACTGAACTCTTTTTATCAATTACTGCGACCAAGTTTAAAGCAAAAGAAAAATGTAAATTTATATTAAAATAGAAGTAGAAATAGTATTAGAGAAAAAGCTAAAGCAAGGAAAATTAACTATAGTTAAATAGAACAATTTTGTTTTTATAAACTTTGATATTTTCTATCTATAAAAATATAAATTTTTTGGCAAAAATTTAGAAAAATTGGGGGTTTTTTTTTTTTGAAAACAGGATTTACTGTAATCCTGCTTCACAGATCACAACTGGATATAGACAACATGATCTATACAAACAAATAAACAAATATAAGTAGACAAACAAAGAACAAAACAAACAAAACACTTAAATAGTTCAAACATGTTTAACAAACAAACAACAATTGATGAAACAAACAAACAACAAATAAACAAATACCTAATACTAGTACTAGAAAAATATAGGAATTTTTTTAACCAAAGTGATAGTGAAAAATCTGCACTATATAATAAACAAAAGGCAACTACTTTAAAAAAAGATAGCAAAATAGCAAACTATCTAAACACAGATAATTTTTACTTAATAGCAATGATCCACAACATTTTGCATATTTATGACTGGGCTCAGTACAAAAAAACAAGAGAGCTTGAGTTATTTGAAGAGAAAAAAATTTTAATTGATAAAAACACAAATTTGTACAAGCCACAAGATAATAGCAGTATAGCTATAGCAGGAACATCAGCTTTAGAGTTAATTACAGATCAACAAATGATGGAGGTTGAACCAACTTCTATAGAAGTTACTTTAATACACTTATGTGATCGAAGTAATAAGGCAAGAGTTCAAATAGCACTTGTTTAACCCCTATAAAAATTACTTATACACAAATAGACAAAGCTTTAAGTGAAAATAGTATTATAATAGAAGCTAAAAAGATGAATCACTCACATAAAAAAAATTTTAGAGAAAATGAAAATACTAGTAGTATAAAAGAAAAAAAGCAGGCAATAATTAAAACAACTTTACTAGATAATGAATATGAAGTATTAGATTATGCCTTAGAAAAACAAATTACTGAAAAGACAATTGAGGATTTTAAAACTAAAAGAAATAAAGATACAAAGAGATCTAAACATCATGAAAATATCTATAACTCAATATGGGCTCCTAAAAGCAATTTTAGATTATATAACTTTATATTACATTATTTTTTTATGATGTAAAACCTTCCCAAAGAAATGAGAGAAAAAGAAATTAAGAAGTTTCTTAGCTACTTCAGCACAGTATTTGTTCTTGCCTAACAACAAAATATGAAAACCAAAATAGCTTATATAAAGATTGCAACAAATATAAAAAGTAGAGAAAACTTATTAAAAAACAGTTGGTCAATACAATTAAATCAGGGCAAAACGTATAGAACAACCTCTAAAAGATTTAATAATACTATTCTTAAGAACAGAAACAAATACAAGTGCACTATTTATAATATATCTAGAATAGCACTAGATAGCCTACTCTTATATCAATTAAAGAAATACAATATACAAGTAGTATACATACTAAACAACCACTATGGTAACCTAAGCAGAAGAGCACATATTTACTTCAGTTTAGAAAAAAAACTTGTTTAAGTACAGAAAACAAGTCTTTACTACTAGGGTTGTTAATGGAGTGGCATACTCCGGAGCAGCTCCAGAGTGAGCCCAACCCAAGTTGAAGTGAGATAAAAATATACTGGAGTAAAACTGGAGTAAACTGAAGTAGCTTTAAGCAAAACTGGAGTGGCTCCAGAGTGAGCCCAAACCAAGTTGGAGTAAGTGAAAGAATAGCTCAACCCAACCCACTCCAACCGAACCCATTAACAACCCTATTTACTACTATAATACCAAGCTTGAATGGTAGCCAAGTTTAAACAATTCAGTAGCCAAGAATTTTAGTAATGAGTAGCCTTATTACAAAAGTGATAATTAGCACAATAACAAGAGAAAAGGATATTTAGAAAAAGCAGAAATATACAAAGAACAAAGCTTGGATAAAAAACTAAAATACTTAAACAACTCCAGAAAAATAACCAAGCACTTTAAAAAGAACAAAGAAAATAAACCTAGTACAAGCATAAATTTGTGGTCTATAGCACAAGTACAAGGAAAGCTTCTACTAAATATACAAATAAGAAAGCAGAAGAGAGTAATTCACACAGTATACTTAAAACAAATTTAGTTAATTGAAGAATTCTAGACAATAAAGATTTTATCATCAATAATACAAATCCTACATCACAACTACTAGTATGCAATATTAGCAAGTTAGAAAAGAAAGATAAAGAAAAGGCTAAGCTATATCTAGACAATATTACACAACAGGAAACATTGGCTGAGATCCTCAAAAAGCTATCAAAAATCAAAAAAGATTACAAATCAATTCTTTTATTAGAGGTAGTTAGCCCTAACTACTTTTAAAAGTTGCTATAGGTATTATTAAAGTCGAAAGCAGGTCTAGCCTCTTGTATAAAAAAACCCAAAAATATTAAGAAGGGCTAGAAAGAACAATTGTAGAACAAATTAAAGAAGATCATTACTTATCCTGCAAAATAGCATGTCATAATATTAATGAACTTAAAAGCAACTCACAAAAATTTAATTTATTAATAAACTGGATAGCAAAAAATATATATGATATAGTAGGTATTATTGAAACAAATATTTCAAAAGAAGATTACTTCCTTAATATTCTATTTAAAGATTACTATACAGTTTGGTCAAGCTCAAGTTAAGAAAAGAAAAAAGGCTCAGGTGTAGGTTTCATAATATCTAAAAGGTAGAAAAAACACTTAGGCTTTATTTAGAGATTTGATAAATATAGTCTGGCAATAAGCTTCTTATTTAAACAACTAGAAATAGTTATAAT